TTTCGTCTAAGGTGATGAAGGACTGGTAGTAGAATTTTCCCACAATGATATGAGTTGAGCTGGCGTTTTCATTGAATTTTACATAGCTTCGCTTTCCCAAAAGTTGTTCTCATCCAGAATGGACTGCAGTTTAGACCTAGCATCGGTCTTATCAACACCCTCAGCTTGACACGCTAACCACTCCCGCTGAGGGTGTTGAAAGGACCGATGCGAGGTCGAAACTATAGTCCACTCTGGATAAGAACAACTTTTGGGAAAGCAAGGCTATGTGAAATTCAATGGAAGCGTCAGTTCAACTCATATCATTGTGGGAAAATTATACTACCAGTCCTTCATCACCTTAGACGAAATAGGGTGAATAATCTCATATTACTGATTTACTGGTAGTCTCGAAACTCTACTCTTATACCAAAATATATATATTTATTCAAATGGTCTATGGATGCGCATGATAGATTTTAAAATTAATCTATTCTGATATATACTAGTAATTATCTAATTTGGCCTAAATTTCGTCATTTAATAGATGTTAGAATATTATACGAACTTATTCAGTTTTACCTCCCGCCTTTATTTTGTTGATATATTTTAGCCACATTTTGTGGTTTTGCCTCATCGGCTCTTTCCTACAAAATTATTTACTTCTGACAATTTCATTATAGTAGAATTAAGTTAAAATTTCCCCAAATAGGATATCTTCTTGAATGGAATATCCATTTGCTTTGCTTTAAAATTATCACCATATCTTTGGACGGAAAAATATCCTCCCTTGGCTGTTATCGAACTTCTTACAACCATTTAACACTATTTTAGGAGTTGGAAAAATTGGCCTCAAGAAAACTTCGTCTGTCAGCCAAGGAGACGATGCGAATTGCCGAGCGTCTCTACTCCCAGGGCTATATTTCATATCCTCGAACAGAAACCAATCAGTTTCCCCCGGACATGAGTTTGATACCATTGGTCGAGTGTCAAACTGAGGATTCCAGATGGAGTGGTACATGTCTAGTTACTATATATGCATTTCAAATATACATCTCCGGTTAATCTATTTTCTCTTTAATTGAATATATGAAGACCAAGATGTTGTGGCCTCTGGTGTGATCGCAGCCTCCTTTCGATTGATAAAAGTGGGTTGACCTCGTTTTCGCAACTTGGTCTTGTTTTCAGGGAGACCATGTAGAACGCACCTC